AGAGTTGTCCTTCTGGGACTGATTGATACCCCAGCCTCCCTCCTCCAAGGGGACACACACACACACATACAAAAATATAGACATCTCTTTAGCTATCCCCCAAAAAAACTATGCTTGGGACATCATTTTCCATTCTGATTGTTAGGGAGTGGTGTAAAAGTAAACATCTGGAATTACTCCAGGCATTGGAACATTGATTACAGAAGTTTGTATGTAATCCTAAAAGATTATTGAGGAAAAGATAAAATCCAAATATATGGCTAAAGCCAGTTATATTTGTACCACCCCATATAAAAAAAAATAATCCAGTCTGTGTGTATTAATCAATTATGTTTATCTGTTTTTAACACAACCAATAAACATTTTCTTTGATCAGAATGCCTGGATCAACAAAATTGCTGAGTAGAAAAAAAGTTTTTTGACTTTGACAATGTTAAATTAATTCCATAAAATAAGGCTCAAGTTACACATTTTCATATGAATAACTGATAGCTGAAGTACAATAAATTTATAATCAAAGGCCTGACGGCCTGAGAGGCGCATCGCATTGAGGGTATAAAACTTTTTTTTTCTTGGAGATATTCAACATCTGTTAAGGGAATGAAATAATCCAGGAATAAGAATTTAAAAAATAACTAACGTTTTTTGAGGTTAAAAAATTAAGCCATGGCTCTGAATTTTAGCCAATCGATCAGGAGAGGAAAAACATTTTTTTAAAAAAGATATATCGGTTATAATTCATTGATATTTAAATTGAATCATAATTGATTTTAATTGTATTTGACTTCTTTTTTAATTTTTATTCTTTGACTATTAGGAAGATGAAATAATGAATGTCAATATAGAAATTACTAGTAATGATTATTGAATAATATTATATAATTTCATATCTGAATTATTTCAGTTTCTTTCATTATGTGCACTTTTATAAATATCACTTCCTTGTTTTTAACTTTTTCCCAATATAAATGGCACAATTTATAACAAATGTTATATACATGAAATGTTCATGTAAATTATACGGGACTAAAATAAATGATCGGGCGTGGTACACGGTTTATTATGAACCCGATGCAAAACCGAGTTATTCATAGTACGAGCTGTTGTTATGCAAATAAGTCTTACTCCGCGCAGTGTACGTTTGTTGTTGTTTTCTCTCTTCGTTTTAATTGTTTATTTTCTCATTTTTCGTAACCTCTGTTGATTCAAAGTTAAAACAACATGTATGTGTGAGATTTTGTCTTATTAGCAGTTTAAAATTAACAATGGATATCGCCAACTTGTCAATGTACATTAGCACTATTTTTAATAACGTGTTAAGAATCAATATTGTTGAGTCCTTTGCCGCCGCAGTTTAGATAAGAAAGAATTGCCAGGTGATCGCAATGAGGCTGCATCGAAAACGATGCGCCTCAAAAATGCTCTTAAGTTCATGCTTGTCGATTGGATAAAATTAAATTTATTTAAACTTGATTTTTTTTTTCCAAAACCAGCAAGATCAACTTACAAAACATTTTACACATAATTTGTAATAATGTGTTATAACTTTAAAATATGAATGCCCACAATGCACAAGTATTTGCTTAAATTTCATTGTTATCTTTTGCAATCAAAAAATGGTGCTTTTGAAATAAAAAAAATTCTGAGAAAGAAGATGTAGAGAAACTGTCACTGGGTGAAATAAAAAAAAAGCTTTTACAAAATTGTATATGTACAGTACAGTATTTGTAATGAAAACCACTACACAACTAATTTATTTTTCAGAAAAAATACGTGCAATTTTTTTTTCAAATTTGTTTATAAAGCACCAAAAAGGCAGCAAAACACTAACAGGAAGCACCTTAAAATATCTGTAGCCACAGCAGACTACAGAACATAATGTCCTTAAGCTGATTATAAATATCAGCTTCTTACAGTGAGACGTCATTATATGACCTCACGGGGGAACTAAATAAGTACACATGCTTCAGATATGGGGAATCGACTGTTAACTAGAGATGGCACTGTGACTATAGACTCCTCCCACTGTCTGGTGGCCAGTAGCACCACTGCTTGGATTTCCTCTACAATACTGAATGGACAAGTCTCCTATCCTTGACCACCTTCCATTGACATAGCTATAGCCTGTTTTAACATTTCATCCTCTGGCATTTCCTCTGAAAAAAATAAAATTTTTGGGTTTTAATTTTTTTTATTTTGAATCAAATGTGGAACTATAATTCCATAATTTGAATTCTAAATAGTAAAATACTGTCTAATCTACTTTGTAATATATTGTATTTTGCACTATCCTGTCTCAGAAACTGTAAACTCTTCACAAGTTTTCTTGACTTTTTTAGTCTTTTGTGTATACGGATAGAGTCACTTGAAAAAAAAAATTCAAGAAAATGTGAATTTAGATACGGTGAATTAGTCGGAACATCTTACGGGTTAACCGATTAGCAATTCTGTATTCAATTGCCATCCATTAAAATTAACCATGTAATTTTCTTTTCATTTTGTTGTTTCCTTCTTATTTATTTATTTTCATTGAAAACTTCACCCTAGCAAAGTTTACAGTGGGTAGACAGCATTCATGTACCTTCTTCCACTGCCAGTTTTTCCTCTGTTAAATCACCTTTTTCTACAGGCTGGGGTTGCTCTGTTACAGAAGTCTGATTTGGATTTTCTTGAACCGTGCTGACTGTCTCTTTCGGATCTTCAGTTATTTGTTCAGTATTGGCTGTCTGATCTAATCGTTGTAGAAATGCTAGTCTTTTCTGTCTCACCTCCTCTTGTGATGGAGGTTTGACATCTTTGGACACAGTTACTAACTTTTCTTCACTTGGTCCTGGAGTATTGTCATCTTCTATTATATAGCCTAATAAAGTGTGCAAGAATGATATTTAAGTACCTATAAGTTAAAGCACTACAACACCTGATATAAATGCCCTACACTGAGTATAAAAACAATAAAGTGCCACGCCATAGCATGATACGCCCATCAAAAAATTACAATTTTCTTGAACAGTTTAGCGTGCAAGAAAATCAGGTCAACCTTGATTCTAAGATTTCCATGACTTTTCCATTCCTGAAAATATTTATCCATCCCCTGTGATGTAGGCATTAATTACAATAAATATTACATCATTGATAGATTTCTATGCTGGTTGTGTTAGACCTTGTCAAATGCCCATCATATTAAACAATATCATATTAGTCTTAACACCTTAATCTATACCAAATTAATTTTGAAAAGAAAAGGCTGGCCATCAAATGACATATGCTATAAACTGACCAGCAGTTCTTCTGTCTAATCCCCAAAGGATACAGATAAGACTGCTTGATCAGATAGCCTTCCTACACTGAACTCATTAATCTTGTCTACTCATTACTACCAAGAGATGAATTGTTCTGCACTATCTACCATAAAATTTGTTTAAAATATATAAAATACTCAAAGATTTTTTTTTGTTGAGATTTAATGTCCGACAGGTTTTTTATGTAATTCATATGGACATACTGATTCCATCCCACGTACCCCATAAAATTAGTTTTTAAATTAATAATATTATAAAATATCAGATTAGTCTATTATGCAATATCAAATTAGTTTTAATTACTTTTCAACAAATTCATTTTAAAACTTAGGTTAGCCAACAAGAGCTTTTTTAATCCAACAGGCTTAACCCTTTGCCCAATACTCAAGGGATATACTCAGTAGATAGCACCGATGCTCTAGCTGCCAGTTAGCTCCTCACACTAAACTCATTAATCTCTCTCTAATTTGACATGCAATTTTCTTTTATCAAAATTCTTCTTGACCAGTGCTTGATAATTACACTCATGGGAGAGGTAGGATTTCTCTAACATACATTATATTTGTTATAGATTGCTGTCAAGTATATGCTTAAAACCAGAAGTCTCTGTCGAGACTGAAGCTCTACTGGTTTGTACTTATAGCAAAGGAAGAGGAAAGTACTTAAGCAGTTAGAAATTGAAACTTTTCAACAGCAATAAATAGAATAATGATCCTTGATTAAGTCTCTTTATGTTCTTAGTGTAGTCTACTTGCATGCCACATTATATTATAACCAGACTAAAACTGTTATTTGGAGTAGCATTTTGAGAGTATTTAACAGAAATTTCTATTTTTAGTAACCACGGCAACACCATTCATCGAAATCAAAAACCGATACACAGAATTATGTATCTTAGTATAGTCTACTTGTGTGCCAAGTTATATTGAAATCAGACCAAAACTGTAGGAGGAGTAGCATTTTGAAAGAATTTCACAGAAATTTCTATTTTTAGTAACCACGGCAACAACAATCATCGAAATCAAAAACCGATACACAGATTTATGTATCTTAGTGTAGTCTACTTGTGTGCCAAGTTATATTGGAATCAGACCAAAACTGAAGGAGGAGTAGCATTTTGAAACAATTTCACAGAAATTTCTATTTTTAGTAACCATGGCAACACTGTTCATTGAAATCAAAAACCGATACACAGAATTATGTATCTTAGTGTAGTCTACTTGTGTGCCAAGTTATATTGAAATCAGACCAAAACTGTAGGAGGAGTAGCATTTTGAAAGAATTTCACAGAAAATTCTATTTTTAGTAACCATGGCAACACCGTTCATTGAAATCAAAAACTGATGCACTATTCTATGTATCTTAGTGTAGTCTACTTGTGTGCCAAGTTATATACTGAAATCAGACCAAAACTGTAGGAGAAGGAGTAGCGTTTTAAAGGAATTTCACAGAAAATTCTATTTTTAGCAACCATGGCAACACCGTTCATTGAAATTAAAAACCGATGCACTTTTCTATGTATTTTAGTGTAGTCTACTTATGTGCCAAGTTATATTGAAATCAGACCAAAACTGTAGAAGGAGTAGTGTTTCAAAGGAATTTCACAGAAAATTCTATTTTTAGTAACCATGGCAACACCGTTCATCGAAATTAAAAAGCGATGCACTATTCTATGTATCTTAGTGTAGTCAACTTATGTGCCAAGTTATATTAAAATCAGACCAAAACTGTAGAAGGAGTTGCATTTTGAAGGAATTTCACAGAAAATTCTATTTTTAGTAACCATGGCAACACCGTTCATCGAAATTTAAAAGCGATGCACTATTCTATGTATCTTAGTGTAGTCTACTTGTGTGCCAAGTTATATTAAAATCAGACCAAAACTGTAGAAGGAGTAGCATTTTGAAGGAATTTCACAGAAAATTCTATTTTTAGTAACCATGGCAACACCGTTCATCTAAATTAAAAACCGATGCACTATTCTATGTATCTTAGTATAGTCTACTTGTGTGCCAAGTTATACTGAAATCAGACCAAAACTGTAGGAGGAGTAGCGTTTTGAAAAATTGTTTACAGACAGACGGACAGACAGACGGACAGACAGACAGACAGACAGACAGACGGACGGACGCCGGACGCATTACTATCGCATAAGCTCTTCTGGTCTCTGACCAGTAGAGCTAAAAATAAGTATTTTCTTGATTTAACACTGTTTCAATAAGGACAGTGCAATACTCTTACATTATTTGGGATGTGAAAATGAAAAGTAATAAGACACATTTTTTAAAAAAAATTTCACTTAAATTAAAGGTCACAGTGACCTTGAAATAGGTCACGACAAACCTTCTACCTAAGATGCATAAACTAGCCAAGTTCGATGATTGTAAGTCTTATAGTTTTCTAGTTATGGGCCGGAAAGGATTTTCCATATTTGGCTATATCTTCTTAATTAAAGGTCAGAGCGACCTCCTTTTTGTGCGCGACACACCTTTTACCCAAGATGTATCAGATGACAAAGTTTGATAATCCTGGACCTAATAGTATTAAAGTTATGAGCCGGAAACGAAAAAGCTAACAGACAGACGGACGGACACGAAGCCTATAACATAATATGTCCCGTCTTAAGACAGGCGTATAAAAATATTACAAAAATGCTTGTAGAAGCCTCTAGCTTGGTTTCTTCTTTTAACAAATATTATGACTGATATTCCCCTTACAGTGATTTGATTTTCTGTGTAACTGTGTTTATTCAAAGAAACTTTTCTAGAAGCTTAAATAGCAACTTGAGCCAAGTACTTGTTATCAATTCATCCAAACTTGGATCGATAAAGGTAGTTATAAAGGTAGTAAAATGTAAAATTGTGACTCTAAAAACAGTTTCACATTTCAAATGCAATTTTAAGAATATTCATTTTCTTCAGATGCTTTCTGTGATTTTTTATGTACAGTAACAAATAATTCGGCATGACATGCGCGTCAGATATTACCCTCTAGGCTCATCTGTAGTGCCCTCTGTAACATTTTATCGTCCTTCTCATCCTCACATCGACTCTCCATCAGAGCCCGCTGTAACTCAGGGTCGTCTGTCTGGGCGTCTGATTTACTAATGGACTGATTCTCATTAATTAGGCGGGGTTTGAGGAGCTGTACTGCTGGGGCCAAGCTAAGGATATCATCTGCTTCACACTCTGGTAATCGACCAGTCACAATAAATATTGAGTATCCTGTAGGGAAAAAAAATTGTTTTAGTTCAAAAACCAAATAAAACTAAAAACAAATAAGAGCATTAATTTGATGTTTGATATTATACTCAGTATCAGTTTTCAAATCTTGGCTAAATTAAGATGACTCATGTGCATGTGCTAATTGGAATTTCTTGTACATGTATACTTTACAGCTGGATTTCACAATGATTTTTTAGTATTTCTAAAATACTAAATACATGTATATCAGTACTTTAAATATCTCAAATTGTGAAACCCCAAAATGTCTCAAAGTTTTTCTCTGTACCATCAAGTTCACAATAAGTAGGTTTAACTGTATACAGTGTATTTACATGTACATTCAGAGTCGTGTTAACCTCCAAAAAGTTACAAAATTTACAATATTCAAAAGAATGACACTCCTTTTACTTAAATACTGTGTTTCTTTACAGATTTCAAATTCACAGATTTGACATAAATCATAGAAAGAACATGAAAAATATATCTATAAATAAAGGTGAATTGATCTGAAATTAGAGTTACTTCCCTTTGGATGTCAGTACATGGAAAAATGGGAAATTAATCAATGACAAATAAGTCAGTGATAACATCACTTGCCTTCTTGTTGGAGTTGTGTAAGGAACAGAGACAGATAGGTGTCAGAGATAAGTTCAGGACCCGTTAGCAGAGAATTCAGATTAAACCACTGTTTTCCAATCTTTCTGATGCAAAACCAATGATCACGGAAATTGCAGATATAAGCATTCTGTGCCCTGGAAAAGAAGAATATCATTCAAAAATACTTTTTTGCTATGTATTTAATACTGCTTTTGATATCAATAAATGAGGCAATTACTGGGTGAATAATTCTCAGTCACTAAAGATTACTTCAGATGTTTGACGAAAACGAGGGAATTCTGTTTTTGAGAGATAGAAAGAGAAATGGGAGGAGGAGGAAAATTCTAAAAGTTCTCTCTCTAAATGAAAATTTGTATTTTTTTTTTCAAATTTTGAACATTAAATGAATATTTTGACCGCTTATGCCAAAATTTGTAATATTTCCTAAATTGAATTTTATTCCCAAAGTTTAGAAAGCGATATGCAACAGAATTGGTTGTGTACATACTATGCATAGTAATAGTATGATACAATGTTTCCTACTAGCTTGGACTAGTGGGTTAACCCTGTAACTCAATTGGTAGAGCACTGGACTGGCATGCCAGAGCTCTCTGGTTCAAACCCAAATAGAGGCACACATGTCTCTGTTACAGATGCTCTAGAACGAGTGTACATGTATAGTGAAAACTATTTCTCAAGCTTTGATTATACTTAGCAATATTAAAATATATTCTTTGCAATATACAGTGTTTTCCCTTTATTTTAAAGTAAAGGTTTAAAGATCGATTCTTACAGGCTAAGGGTTGAGGTTGATGTTAATGAACAGAACTATGTTAACCTTACAACAAATTTTGATTTCTAGGCAGCATTTTTATCAATCGAAGCGGTCAATTTGGCCATCAGCCGGTTTTAAGGGAAAACACTGAATATGCTCAGTTACTCACACTGGATTCTGTCGAGCTTCTTTTGCAATAGTATCCTGAGAATTAAACTGAACTACATTTAGCCCCCATACTTGTAATGCTTTCACTATGACTTGTATGGAGAAAAATCCACTGTCATCAAAGTTGGAGGAAGCTTGCTAATCAACAGAATGGAAAACGACAAATTTTGAAAAGCTCATTCAACTACAACATCAATTTAAAAAAAAACAAATAAAAAATCGCTAAAAATTCACATCTTTAACTAAACATTCAGCATCATTAAAATACTGTGTTTATTTTGTTTTTGTATCCAAAATATTTATCTGTAGAAATGAGATGTTGAGCAGACCTGTATAAACCTCTGATACTCTATACTCTGGGTTCCAGCCTCTGCCATTTGTAATCGCTCTGATTCATCAAGTTGGCGTGCAATATCTGCTAAGTCAACGGCACTAAAATACTGTCCTTGTAGCAATGCATTTAAACAATGCTGAGCACATAATGATCCCTCCTGCTGTAAAATCAGAGAAATTGAAGAAGTTTGATCAATGTCTCAAAGTAAGAGAAGAAGCATGAAAAAAAAAGTCCGGTGTCCCACTGCACTGAGTGGATTAAGGACGCTGATATTGTGAGGGATCAAAGAATGCAATATGGTTTAAAAATCAGATTGATTTCTCTATTATAGCTATCAAAACAACAACCAAAATCAAAGATAGTTCTAACATTGCAGCTTTTGAATGCTTTTAAGCAAAAAGAGAATTTCTATTGTTAGAGTAACTGTCCATTACCCTGAGTGCCTTGAGGCACGATTGCTTCTCATTGTACTGAACTGTTACTAATCAATTATCTTGTTGGCCATAATTGGTCTCCTTTATAATATCATTGCAGAAGTAACTGTATCAATTGCTTTATATAGCCCCAAAACTTGTGGAACTTTGAGTGCAAAGTCTCACAAGGAGACGTAACTGATGAGTGATTTTTACATGCATTATTTTAAGAAGAGTTCAAGATTGTATATCATCACTGCGCTTTTTTGTACATACTGAGAAAATTACACCTTTAAGATAAAAGTGTAGTAAAATACCTAAATTAAGCTATTGTGAATAGCTTAATAAAGCTATATAGCTATTTAACGCTATATAGCTAAATCAAGAGATTGTACTGAACCTCCAAAGAAAACAAACAGAAGTTTTTAATCCAATGATGTAATTGAAGAGTTAGGTCTACTCTTTAGTCTAAGTAAGTCACTTTTATTTACATCGTTTTTAACAAAAGCTGTACAAAATGGATATGCTCTTTAGAGAAGTAAACAGGTTTTCTGCCCACTTCTTCAAAGAGAATACAAAATCATGGGGTGCATAGTCATAACGACGACTGACTGAGTTCCCTTTGCCAGGTTCAAACCGTCATAAATTCTTATAGCTTAACTACTGAACTTGTAGTCTATGATAACGTAAAGAATAGACGTCAAAATAACTCACTTCTTCGTGAAATATTGCGTCCATAGCCTTTTTTCAAGACAATTAAGTTTTTCTGATCATATTGTTTACGAATTGTGGGAACCTCGATCCCGATTGAATTACCGAATAGACCTTCAGCTGTATCTCGCACTTCACTGACTTTAGATACTAAAATAGGGATTGCTGATATTTTTTTATCGGATGTAAAAGTGTTTATTTCACCAAACGTCGAGAAAAAACTAAATATATAAAATAAATAGACTCTTTAGCTTCTAGTGATTTTTAATAAAATCTGTTTTATGCCTAAAGTTATCTTCCAGTTTCAAATTGCAATTTCCATCTCTGAGTTGTCGATCGTTACTCTCTCAGACAGTGAATGTATGAGCCGATGGTAGGCTAGTGAATGGTTAATTTGACAGTTCCCGTGCTCTCGGTTTTTTTTTTAAATAACGTGAATGTTCTTCGGGGGTAGGAATGTATCTTTGTTGGTTGCATTGCTCTATAGATGAAAAGGAGGTAAAACTCCAAAAAGACGCTGCTAATTACAAGCTCTGCAGTTAATTATTAATCCGATATCGAAATTATATAGTGCTGTGAAATCTTACATATCAAATTACATCCAATATCATCTTCATTAAAGAATACATTTATACATTAAAATTTGACTAAACTTGGAAACAGGGACAATTTACAATTTTATCGTTACATGTATAATTTAATGTAATTTCTCTATCCTTAAATCTTCAAAGAGGGCATGCATAATAAAAATGTATATAACTACAATTTGATGTTCCTGTACGGGGTTGGGCTGATTTTGCTTATGTATAATTAAATTACCTCATTTGTCAAGAGCATGCTCTACCTACGAATACTTTCTAAAACGAGGCAAGATATTGACAAACATGTTGATGAAACAAGAATATGAACACTTTCGTTAATTTTGAGTAATATTTAGTAAGTTCTATAAAAAGTCGAAAACTCTTTTTCATATCCACACACTGAATTTGTTACTGAGTTTCTGTTTGCACAATGATGACAAGGAGCACATAGCTTGTGTGACCTGTCGGCAGGGGATGCTTACTCCTCCATGGCACTTGATCTGCTGGTGTTTTTTTTTTCAGGTCCGTGATTGATCTTATTCCAATTTTATTTCATTTGTTTTTTGAATTCTTCCTTACCTCCATATTTCATGGCTACCCTTAAGAAAGTTATAATTTTGATATGGAGAACAACAAAATGAGTTCTATCGATACATTTAAAATAGGAGATGTGTAATGTCATATAATAACTGCATTCAGTGGTGTCTAAGAAGTTATAAGGATTGGTTATAGAGTATTTTGAATATATTTTCACGTGTATATAACTTGGACAAAAACTAATTGTTCTCAGTTTTATTTGCCTTACCTCAAACCTTTAATGGAAGAGCGCAGACAAGGAAGAACATTTTTTCTCTTGGAGACAGCATAATCACAAAGAGGTGCTGGTAATTTAATATAATCTCAAAACATATTTGCATTCAAATTTTTTAAATTTTGCATTTACTAGGAGGAGTGAAACATAAGCAGGTAACGAACAGTATTCAAGATCAAAAGTCCATAAAACAATACAAAATAGGAGGAGAGCAAACACGGACCTCCAAAACATCAGAGGTGGAATCAGGTGCCATGGAGGAATGAGCATCCCCTGCCGACCGATCACATCCGCCGTGTGCTCCTTGTCATGATCGGGAAATAACGGGAAAATCCGTCGTCAATTCGGAGTAACAATTAGTATGAAAAACGTCAGATGAAGCACTTGACTCAGTGATATGGAATCCGGATAGGGCCATGCAGTTTACTATCACACCATCGAGCATCGACTTATAGGTCGATAGCGCGATAATGCGATGGCACGATAACGATGAAGCGATGGTGCGATGACGATAGAGCTATGGTGCGATAGCGCGATGACAATGATGCGGTGGCGCGATAATGCAATGACGATGGTACGATAGAACGATAGAGTAAAAGTAATATCGCTTCATCGTCATCGTACCATCGCTCCATCGTTATCGCACCATCGCGTCATCGCACAATTGGTCCATCGTGCTATAGCACTATCGCCATCGCATTATCGCGCCATCGCTTCATCGTCATCGCGCTACTGCACCATCGCTTCATCGTTATCACACCATCGCTTTATCGTCATTGCATTATCGTGTCATTGCATTATCAACCCAAACCTCGATGGTGCGATGATGCGATAGTGAACTGCGTGGCCCTATCCGGATTCCATACAGTGATAAATTGTATTTGCTGACAAGGTCATTGTATCGACCGTAGAACTTACGAAATGGAGACTTTAAACGAGACTGTTTATATTCTGTTTCATTAATTTGTTTGTCAATAATTTGCTTTGTATTAGAAATTGCTCATACAAAGAACATGCTCTTGCGTATCCAATCAACTGAGATACATAAATTCCGTAAGCAGTTGATGGAGGTATATTGCTGAATAAGTAAGGTAAGTTGGCGATAGAAAAGTTAAAGTCATCACGTTTATCATATAGCTTGGTTGTTAGATTACCATTAACGTTTTTTCAAGTAAAATATCGAAATATGAAAGAGATGTGTCAGACTCTGTGGCATATTTTATTTCAAGCTCACCAGGATACATCGTATCGACATAAGAATGGAAAATCCATTGATAATTAACAATACGTTGTCGATATATCTAAATGTCGAGTTGACGGCCACAGCAAGTGTTTTCTTCTTTTCACGCATAAGATTTTGCAAAAATTCTGCTTCATATGAATACAAAAATAGGTCTGCTAATAACGGGGCGCCATAGGTACCCAAGGGAATTCCAATAGATTGTTGTTGGAAGACCTGGTCTTCAAAAACAACATAGATATTGTCAATCAGAAACTCAATCATCTTTTTTGATGTCAACTTCAGAGTACTTGTGTGTACAATCAGAATGTATTTTACAAAATAATTTTTACAAATGACGAATGACAAGGTAAGTAAATTAACGAGTTCCATTTTTATTGAAAAAGAGCTATCAATGATATCAAAAAGCCTGGACTTTAATTTATCGTGGGGAATGGTTGTGTATAAAGTTGAGAAGTCGCAAGTTTTTGGAGCTGTTGATTTTTGGTAAAATCTTGTGATTTCAATTTGTCCAAAAGTTCCTTAGAATTTTTAAGTATCCACATCTGATTTACACCATTTCTTGAATATATTATTGCACAGTACTCTTGAAGTTTCTTCTTTACTACTGTTAATATCTTAGTGAGGAGTAAAGAAAGGCTCAGTTGAACATTTACTGGAACCCGCTATGTATCTTTGTAAGGATTCTTTTGAAGTTTCGAAATCCAATATATAAATGGTAGTTTAAAATCAATTTGTTTGGGATATTAAAGATATTCAAAACTGACATATGATTTTGAAGAATTTCTTCCTTAGAAAGGGAACTATGAGTATAAGTTGGATTACCACTTGTAGAATTAAGTCCAAATTCTTCTAAAATACAATTTATATAATGAGCCTTACAAACGAAGACAATGTTGTTACCTGCTTTGTCAGCAGGGACCAGTACTTACTGATCATGTAATCTATCTAATTCTTTTTAACTTAACTTGTTGTAAATGTTGCATCTTCCTCCTCCTAGTAAATGCAAAATTTACAACGTTACTTTTTTTCTTTTTGTTTTTTCTTATAACAATATCCGTTGCTATTGGACCGACTTTTAAGAAAAATCATGTTTTATTTTGCCCTGTTTAATTTATAATAACACTTCCTCAAAAGTTGTCTCGGCTTCCTTTGATCAAATTTAATCCGCACTGCGGCACGATCGGTGAAGTACATCGAGAGATATCGATCGCTCAGATCGATTGCACGATAAACCGATCGCTCATATGTCGCATTGCGGCACGAGCGGTTACCCTTGACCGCAATAAAATTCGTTTTAATTGTAGTTCTAATTGATTAAATAGGCCTAATCTTTTATTTAAAAGAAATTGATTTACAATTATACAAACAAAGTATAAGAATTCGGGGAAAGAACAGAAAGAAATTTTTGTCAATGTTTCAAAGGAGCATATACAATATCTCCAAGTAAGCACACAGACAAATTCAGTGAACAAATCCATTTCATTCAAGGTATGACAAGCTACTTAGCAAGCAATGGTCATTTTCTAATGGTTGTGTCCGCACATTGTCATCTGCGGACCATTTTAAGTGGCAATCGTCTGTTTAATTGCCCTTAGTTGTTATTGAACAGTCACCTCTTATCCTCTCCGAGAGAAAATTAACAAACCATCAAATCCATCGATTGGGTTACGTTAATCTATACGTATACTTCCCATAGTTAATCTTTTTATCTCGGGGACCAAAACATTCTGAAGCTTATAAAAAAAAACTTTTCGCGATGTCTTCGTTCTGTTGACAGAAGACGAAGATGTCAAACAGAATAAAATTAAATTAGCCCTTGCGAATCTAAAGGAAATATCCGTTTATTAAATAAGACCCTGATCAATGAAGGGTACAGGACTGGAAACAATCAGACCACCAGGCGAGAGGCGGCTAACAATGTCACTATGTATATTTCGGGTGTCGCACTGCGGCATATCTCTATAACGACTATGTATGTACGAGTTTGTCTTACATTGTACCGCTAATAGATACATTAACACTGGAATAATGAGAAATTATTGACCCGAAATTCAATGCGAATTGTTACTGCAAAGATATTTCTCTCAGGTGCCAATAGGAAGGTCACAGACAACCAGACATATATAAATTCTTTACTGCGACAAGGAAACGTTTTCACCACAATTGAATACTTTTTTTTTGTATTGATTTGTAAAACTTTGTCTAAGCAGACAATGATGGAGAGTTCATGCAGTCCAACATCAAAACGTTATAATGTGACGGCCAGAGATGGCATATATCGTTCATACGACGAGATGGAAAAATTGTCAACCAGTGTTAATGTTGGGAGAGGAAATAAGTATACATCTTAAATCTAATATTAAGCCAAAAGTAACAGTTAGTATTCCGTCAAGTAAACTTCTAATCCCATATCAAACATTATGTTTGAAGCAACTGT